ACCGGCGACACCGAAATCCTCTGGTGCGGCGGGAAGTCGTTAGGCGTTTTCCGACGCGAGATAAAATTCCGGGAAGCACGTCGGAACGACTCTCCGCGCGCGCTCCACGGGGCTACGGGTATTGTTTTAACGTGTTTGAGTCAAATATTGACGCAAGTTGGGCTCGCGAGGCGGCCCGGAACGAAACGCTCGCGGAACAAGATGAGACGGAACGACCCACATAGCGTCCACGTCTCGGAGAACCGAGAACGGAGGACGTCGCGCCGTGCCACCTTCTTCGTGGTAACGAAAGGAGAGGCGTAACGAGGGAAAGAAAAATAGTCCCCCTTCATCTTTCTCTCTCTCTCTCTCTTTCTCTTTCTCTTTCTCTCGTCATTCTCTTTCGCTTTCTTTGGGCGTTTTCTACTCCATCACTGTTGCTTGTGCGAGATTACCGCCATCGGAATGTGTCGTAATGCACAGGTTTTCTCGATATCGTATTTGATTTTCTACAAGAGATAGGGTTAAAGCCAAAGAGAAAGGAGTGATTTTTTTAAAAATCTTTTCGGCATCGCTGACATTATCTCGTTGTAACGAAGACACTACGTTCGATTATTGGTTCCATGAAAGGCGCTTCGAATCACTCAATTATTTCACATCCTTCCTCGCTCATATCCTGTCAAACAATTGCGACCGAGAACGCGCTTCGAACGGGAAATTACCACGCCTAGATCGACTAGAACACTGCACGACGTGTGTCTTGGGAAATTTCAAATGCGAGTTGCGTATACATTACATAGTGAGGTCATCTTCAATTTTCGAGACTCTTAAATTATGAGATGATTTTAATTAATTAATATCTTAACAAATCAAATTTTATGAAATAGAAAAACTATAGAATGCAATATAATACATAATTTTATTTTTATGCATACTTTTTAACGTTTTCATTTTATAAATGTCATTTAAAAAATTATTTTTATATTATATTTCTGCAAACGTCTCTTAAAGTATTCACGATTTCGTACTTTTAGAACTCTCTGTAAAGTACTATTATTAAAGTACTCTCTGTAAAGTACTATTATTAAACTCACACCCTCTTTCAAAACGAGCTTCTGAATCGACGCGGCGACATTATTACTTCTCGAGGCCTCGCGAGTACTCGTGTGGCAGCCATTGCCGTTGGAACACGCAGAGAAAAGCAGATCGGAGGAGATCCAGGGCGCGTAAACCGCTTTGGCTCTCATAAAATCTCATAACCCCGGGGCGAGCGGCGGCATGTAGCTGTGGATTCGAAATAGAAGAGGGGTCGATAGATACGATGGGGTATATCCCCGAGAAGAAAGCGAGAGACGGCGAAGAGGACTCGTTCTATGACGACGAAAGGGCAGCGCCGATCACGTTGTTGTAGCCTGCGGTGAATCTTCAATGGGGCACCGTAGGGCCCCCATGGGGGGACGTTTGTTTGGACTTCGGATCGCGTCTTTTTGCCGGAACCCCGGGATTCCGTCGCGTGTACAACCGCATGTTGTTGGCGGGGGTGCTTCTGCAGTGTATTGCTCGCGTTAGTTAATAAAAAATAACGGATAATACGAATGCGAATGAAAATCAGATGAGAAAGCTCAATATTGGATTTGATTTGGTTTCTAAAATACTTCGTGATGTCCGGAAGTTAGAAGTTAACTCGATTTGTATAAAAAAGCGCAATATTTTTGTATCAAATAATTTTATATTTAAGATTTTTGCACGGCGAGAATTTTTTTTTAAATTTACCCTGCAAATCGTGTTAATTGTGGGACAATATAGTATTTAGGCAAATTTTACTGTGCACTACAATA